AGTGGCACCGTGGACAGTGAGTGACCCAGGCACCGTGGACAGTGAGTGACCCAGGCACCGTGGACAGTGAGTGACCCAGGCACCGTGGACAGTGAGTGACCCAGGCACCGTGGACAGTGAGTGACCCAGGCCCGTGGACAGTGAGTGACCAGGCACCGTGGACAGTGAGTGACCCAGGCACCGTGGACAGTGAGTGCCCAGGCACCGTGGACAGTGAGTGACCCAGGCACCGTGGACAGTGAGTGACCCAGGCACCGTGGACAGTGAGTGACCCAGGCACCGTGGACAGTGAGTGACCCCAGGCCCCGTGGACAGTGAGTGACCCAGGCACCGGTGGACAGTGAGTGACCCAGGGCACCGTGGACAGTGAGTGACCCAGGCACCGTGGACAGTGAGTGACCCAGGCACCGTGGACAGTGAGTGACCCAGGCACCGTGGACAGTGAGTGACCCAGGCACCGTGGACAGTGAGTGACCCAGGCACCGTGGACAGTGAGTGACCCAGGCACCGTGGACAGTGAGTGACCCAGGCACCGTGGACAGTGAGTGACCCAGGCACCGTGGACAGTGAGTGACCCAGGCACCGTGGACAGTGATTGACCCAGGCACCGTGGACAGTGAGTGACCCAGGCACCGTGGACAGTGACCCAGGCACCGTGGACAGTGAGTGACCCGGGCACCGTGGACAGTGACCCAGGCACCGTGGACAGTGAGTGACCCAGGCACCGTGGACAGTGAGTGACCCAGGCACCGTGGACAGTGAGTGACCCAGGCACTGTGGACCACCAATATTCCCGACAACAGGACATAGAGAGATCTTGTACAGAGAGAGGAATTAAGTGTATCACATTTCACGTCAACCTGCTGGAAAATTCCGGAACTTGTGGCACGAGACTTGTGTATACTGTACGAACGTCCGCTCTTTTTGCCTTTACGAATTTTTGGATCTAATTGGAGCGAGCGGGACACTTTAAACATTAACGAGGCGGCGACCTTTAAATGGTTATACATCTTTGTATCCCCCTCCCCCCCCCCCCCCACCCCCTCCCACTTATCCAAGCATCCTTGTGAATGGAGAAGTAAGGCTGGACGTGTCGCGCTCCCTGATTGGCTACATGCGGGCAAAAATTGCATTTTGGTGTTGCGTGATTGGTTGATTGGAGCTCGATGAGCGTTGATTGGTTCGCGCGGGGAGGTGATAAAAGACTCGAGCATCGCGAGTATTATTAAAGGAATGAAGTTAATGAAAAATGAGTATTATTATGCATAAGTTGGGCGAGCACAATGACGGAGGCGGACACGCGCTAGACAGCCCGTCCTCGCATACCAAGATCCAAGCTCGTTAATGCAGCCGCCAAACCCCAGTTGTTTATGAATGAAAAACGATTTACACACGACTCACACTCTGATGACGTCCGAACACTTCCGACACAAGTGCTTCACTGACGACTTTCGTTCGAACCACAACGCTGTAAATGCTTCACCCACGTACTACACATGCAAATAATCGCCAACAGAACCTAAACACCTAATCTAACCTGCGCCTAACTATACATAGAATTTTTATGTATAAGAATATTAATTGATATATGAGAATAAACCAATGTTTAATACACAGTATGTTAACATTGATGAATGCGTCTGGGGAGGACGGCCGCTGCTTTAACCAGCCTAGTGTGAGGACGGGTTGTAGCCGTACGCGACGAGCGGCCTCACCTCACGTGCATCACAAGGCACAATATGTGGTAGAGCGCTCTGGGCACGTGGTAGAGCGCTCTGGGCACGTGGTAGAGAGTGCACGCAGGCAGTGACCAACCCCGACCACATGGGGGGCTAGGACCCCCCACATAACCACCAATACATACCAGCTGCACATAACATAATCAGAGTAACCTGATCACTCATACTGTTGTGGTTGTCTGAGGACAGTAGGGGGGGGGGGGATATTGTGTCAGAGTGAAGGCAGTGTTATTCCACGTGCACTCGGGGCAGGGGTATGGGGGGGGGGTACACACCTGTTTATTTATATCAGCTGTTGGTGCAAGGACAGTTGTGGGGGGGACAGAGGGGAGGGGGGAGTGTAGGACAGGCGTACTATAATAGGTATAGGTTAAGTAATAATTGTAATTACGGTGGTGAGGTGTTGGTGTGTGTACTCACCTAGCTGTGCTTGCGGGGGTTGAGCTCTGGCTCTTTGGTCCCGCCTCTCAACCGTCAATCAACAGGTGTACAGGTTCCTGAGCCTACTGGGCTCTATCATATCTACATTTGAAACTGTGTATGGAGTCAGCCTCCACCACATCACTGCCTAATGCATTCCATTTACTAACTACTGACACTGAAAAAGTTCTTTCTAATGTGTGTGTGTGTGTGTGTGTGTGTGTGTGTGTGTGGAGCGAGAAAGGTAACTGTAAATATAAATATAACACTTTAAATACATATAGGAGGTAACGCAGCGACTAGATGAAGAGCGAGGGACAGTTTACAGGAGTGGTGGATAGTCCCTGGTCGCCGGGTCACAGCATCTTTGTTACTGGTGAGCATCTGATCCTCTTGGGCTTCACTCGTTTAGAAGTTATTGTCTTGTGAAGGTGTTCTTAGGCAAGGTATCTCTTCCATCACGAGTTGTCTCACTCTTCCCCCTCCCTATCCCTACCTATCCCTCCCTATCCCTCCCTCCCTCCATCCCTCCCTATCCCTCCCTATCCCTCCTATCCCTCCCCTCCCTCCCTCCCTCCTCCCTCCTTCCCTCTCTCTCTCTCTCTCTCTCTCTCTCTCTCTCTCTCTCTCTCCCTCTCTCTCTCTCTCTCTCTCTCTCTCTCTCTCTCTCCTCCTCTCTCTCTCTCTCCTCTCTCTTCTCTCCCTCTCTTCCTCCTCTCTCTCTCTCTCCCTTCTCTCTCTCTCCCCTCCCTCCTTCCCCCTGCCATGGAAGCCCTTCTCTATCCCCCCCCCCTCACCTTGCCCACCCTCATGGCATCTCTCTCTCCTCCTCCCTCCGCCATATTCGTTTATATGGCGGTGGCCATGGCAACATCATTGGACCTGACACTGTTTTATGAACGAATGTTTGTTGCTGGTCGCGGCACCGTCGCTGCTGCCGTTGGTTCCGTTGGTGTTGCTGCCGTTGGTGCTGCTGCCGTTGGTTCCGTTGATGCTGCTGCCGTTGGTGCTGCTGCCGTTGGTTCCGTTGGTGTTGCTGCCGTTGGTTCCGTTGGTGTTGCTACCGTTGGTGCTGCTGCCGTTGGTTCCGTTGGTGTTGCTACCGTTGGTGCTGCTGCCGTTGGTTCCGTTGGTGTTGCTGCCGTTGGTGCTGCTGCCGTTGGTTCCGTTGATGCTGCTGCCGTTGGTGCTGCTGCCGTGGTTCCGTTGGTGTTGCTGCCGTTGGTGCTGCTGCCGTTGGTTCCGTTGGTGTTGCTGCCGTTGGTGCTGCTGCCGTTGGTTCCGTTGGTGTTGCTGCCGTTGGTTCCGTTGGTGTTGCTGCCGTTGGTCCCGTTGGTGTTGCTGCCGTTGGTGCTGCTGCCGTTGGTTCCGTTGGTGCTGGTGATTATGTTCCTGCCTCTATTGATATTGAGGTAGTTTTGCTACTGGTGGTGGTGGTGATAGTGGTAGTTTCCTGCAGGTGGTGGTGGCTCTCCTGCCCCGACTGCTGCTGCTGTCTCAATGCCAAAGAAATCTGGTGGTGGTGGAGGGGGGGGAGGGGGAGCAAGGCCGAGGCCAGCTGTCTGGTGGGGGCAGATGGTGGTTAGGGAGAGTTACACATCTTATGTGACGCCATCTTGTGAGGGGGAGGGGTGGGGGGTGTTATGGTGTGGCGAGTACTGGGGCGGTGAGTACTGGGGCGGTGAGTACTGGGGCGGTGTGGTGGTGGGGTGATACGGTACTGTTTACTGAACAAATATATTGATGAGCGTCTAATGGTTGACTGTATTACGGTTGCAACCGGTCATTGGGGCTACTGCTACCACTGAATTTATTGACCTAATAAATATACCCAATATACTTGGCAACTCTTTAGGCGAGTATGTTGCATACCTTGCCTCGGGGACTCCTTTAAACACACTAGCCGGGATGGTTATGGTACAAGCGGGTCTGTAGTGGTCGCCAGGTCCAAGGTTAATATGGGGTAGGTTATACCAGGGGGGAGAACTGGTACTGGGAGGCGTGTGGTGTTGACACACAGATCAATGGTGGCGCCACACACCTGTTACACCAGGCTCCAGTACTCTCCACACTTGTCACACCTGCTACACCTGCTGTAGCTTCTTAGAGGCAGCTGTTGTTGTTTTTGTTTTAGATTTAGCTACTCAGAAGGAAGTGTCCATGTAGCACGGGCTATGGTGAGCCCGTAATGAGAGCCAGCTTGTACCTGTACTCTTATCCTCCCCCTCCCCCTTCCCTCTCCTCCCCCTTCCCTCTTCTCCCCCTCCCTCTCCTCCCCCTTCATCGCTCTCTCCCCCTTCCCTCTTCTCCCCCTACCTCCCCTCCCTCCCCTTACCTCCCCCTCCCCCACTACCTGAGGCCAACCCAGCATCCTGAATTGACACTACTTACAGTAACTATCTGGTCGAAAGTACAAATATGAAAAATGAACCACCAATAAACAGCTTTTTGTACTACTAATTTTATAGTCCGAACAAAGTAAAGCTAACAATTTCCTAGGCCTATAACAGCACATATATGTACTATATTAGACCTAGGATTTCTAGGAGAGGTTAGGTTAGGTCTTATATTTATGAGGCGTTTAAAAAGAAAGTTTCCGTTTTTTCGAATTCAGCAATACGAAGGTCAACTTTCAGGCGGCCCATCGCGGTATATTTGTACTTTCCACCAAACAGTTACTCTAAGACTTTCATTTTAGGAGGATGGACTGGTGAAGGGGAGGGTACGCCAGGCGTCACAGTGCCTGGCGTACCCTCCCCGCCCTGCTTCCACCCCGTCATTCATTCATTGTTTATTTACCATTCCCCACAAAGTTAATTTTTTTTCCCGTGTCTTGGTCAGGTGTACATGAGGAACCACCGGGAGGTGCGGGGGCTGGTGAGCGGCTACGTGGTCGCCTTCGACAAGCACTGGAACCTGGCGCTGAGGGACGTGGACGAGGTCTTCCAGAAGCAGCTCCGGGGCAAGACTCCCGCCCTAGGTACGTCCTTCTGGCTATTCGGGACGGGACTAGGACTTGGTGGCCATGCCAGGAGTCCTGGAATGTGCTTCCGGGATTGTAGTGGGAGATATGAACCACTGGGAACCTGAGGGAGAGGTGGTCGTACAAGGACAACATCGGAAAACGTCTTCAAGATTATGGGTGAACTTTAATACGCGCTGTAGGTGGCCATTGTTAGCTGGGCGCGGGCTTGGAGGTATGTACTCGTTAAATGTTACCAGGAAGAAAAGATCTATGGCTGCGTGTAACTCATCGGCTTGCAGAGTGAATGAATTGAGATTAAATGAATGAATTGCATTACATCCCCTGCTCACGGTCCCCCCCCCCCATCCCTCCACTCCACAACCGAGGCATGAATGGGCTGCCCACCTCGCCCGTACTCTGACACCCCCCCCCCCCACACCACACACACACACCACACACCACACACCCTCCCCCTCCCCCTCTTATCCACCCCCTGTACCCTCCCCCTCTTATCCACCCCCTGTACCCTCCCCCTCTTATCCACCCCCTGTACCCTCCCCCCTCTCCCCCACCACCCCAAGCCCTCCCTCCTCCACCAATCCCCCCGTGCCAGTCCCCCCAGCTCCCACTCACCCCAGATCCCAAAGGTCCCCCCCAGAAAAGAAGCAGAAGAGAGTCAGTTTCAGGTGATGTACTCGAACATAGATGGGATCACAAGCAAGACAAGTGAACTAAGGGAAAGAGCACAAGAAGTTAACCCAGATGTAATCGGACTCACTGAAACAAAACTCTCTGGAATCATAACGAATGCCGTGTTTCCCCAGGAGTATACAGTAATAAGGAAAGAGAGGAAGGTAGAGGATGAGGTGGAGTGGCCCTACTCATGAGAAGGGAATGGAGTTTTAAGGAGATGGCCATCCCGGGCTGTGAGGAGTTCAGAGACTACATAGCAGCACCATAACAATGGGAGACCAAGAATAGTAGTAGCATTAATATACAACCCTCCACCAAACGACAGGAGACCCAGTCAAGAGTATGAAAACAACAACAAGGCAGTTAACACTATAATTGAGAGGGCAGCCTCTGCTGCCTGTAGAAATAGATCCCACCTGCTCATCATGGGCGACTTCAATCACGGAAAGATTGACTGGGAGAACAAGGAACCGCATGGAGGCGAGGATACGTGGAGAGCCAACTATTGGAGGTGGTGACAAGCAACTTTTTAACGCAGCATGTCGGAGAACCCACAAGGATGAGAGGCAATGACGAACCAGCGAGACTCGACCTAGTCTTCACTCTGAACGACTCCGACATAAGAGAAATCGGTTTTGAGGACCCAGTAGGAATGAGCGACCACAGTGTACTGGTGTTTGAGTACTTGATTGAAGAAGGGTTATTGAACTCGAGGAGGGATACCGAAACCAAAAGGTTAGCATACCGAAAGGGAAACTATGAGGGGATAAGAAAATTCCTAACAGATATAGCATGGGAAACAAGCTCAGGGGAAAGACGGCCCAAGATATGATTGGATTACATCACGCAGAAGTGCAAGGACGCAGCAAACAAGTTTGTCCCAGTCCAAAAGGAAAACGGAGAAATGAAGATGAGAAACCCATGGTTTAATCAAAGATGTAGGCTAGCTAAGCAGCAAAGTAAAAGGGCATGGAGAAACTATAGGAATAACAGGACACTGGAGAGCAGAGAAAGATACCAGAATGCCAGGAATGATATGTCAGGATGAGAAGAGAGGCAGAAGACAATACGAAAATGACATCGCAAGCAAGGCAAAGACTCAGCCTAAATTGTTGCATAGCCACATTAGGAGAAAAACAACAGTAAAGGAACAGGTTATGAGATTAAGGATAGGGGCGGAAGGATTCACTACAAATGACAAGGAAGTGTGTGAGGAATTGAATAAGAATTCCAGGAGGTCTTCACCTTAGAACAAGGAGAAATTCCAGAGGTAAGTGAGGGAATAGCTAACCAGGACCACTGGAAGAGTTTGAGATTACCAGTGGGGAAGTAAGGAAGTGTTTACTAGAGTTGGACGTGACGAAGGCTATAGGCCCAGATGGAATCTCCCCTTGGGTTCTAAAGGAAGGAGCAGAGAACTGAGCCTACCACTCTCCATAGTGTATAACAAATCACTGGCAACAGGGGAACTGCCAGATACTGGAAAGCAGCTAACGTAGTCCCGATATACAAGAAAGGGGATAGACAGGAGGCACTGAACTACAGGCCAGTGTCCCTAACCTGCATACCATGCAAGCTGATGGAGAAGATTGTGCGAAAAAAACTAGTGGAGCATCTGGAGCGAAGGAACTTTGTAACACAGCATCAACATGGGTTCAGGGATGGCAGGTCCTGCCTCACAGGGTTACTTGAATTCTACGACCAGGCAACAAAAATAAGGCAAGAAAAAGAAGGGTGGGCAGACTGCATATTTTTGGATTGTCAGAAAGCCTTTGATACAGTGCCCCACAAGAGGCTAGTGCGAAAGTTGGAGATGCAGGCGGAGTGAGAGGGAAGGTACTCCGGTGGATAGAGGAATACCTAAGCAACAGGAGACAACGAGTCTGTGTGGAGGTGAGGTCTCAGATTGGCGAGACGTCACAAGTAGTCCCGCGGGGTCATTCCTTGGACATACTGTTTCTGGTATATGTAAATGATCTCCCAGAGGGTATAGATTCGTTCCTCTCAATGTTTGCCGACGAAGCAAAAATTATGAGGAGGATTGAAACAGAGGATGATAGTAGGAGGCTACAAGATGACCTAGATAGACTGAGTGAATGGTCCAACAAATGGCTGTTGAAGTTCAACCCGAGTAAATGCAAAGTAATGAAACTAGGCAGTGGAAACAGGAGGCCAGGCACAGGATACAGAATAGGAGATGAAGTACTTAATGAAACAGACAGAGAGAAAGATCTAGGAGTTTGATATCACACCAAACCTGTCTCCTGAAGCCCACATAAAGATAATAACGTCTGCGGCATATGCGAGGCTGGCTAACATCAGAACGGCGTTCAGGAACCTGTGTAAGGAATCATTCAGAATCTTGTACACCACATATGTAAGACCCAATCCTGGAGTATGCGGCCCCAGCATGGAGCCCGTACCCTTGTCAAGCACAAGACGAAGCTGGAAAAAGTCCAAAGGTATGCTACTAGACTAGTCCCAGAACTAAGAGGCATGAGTTAATGAGGAAAGGCTGCGGGAAATGCACCTCACGGACACTGGAAGACAGAAGAGTAAGGGGGGACATGATCACAACCTACAAAATCCTCAGGGTATCGACCGGGTAAACAAGGACGAACTTTTCAACACTGGTGGGACGCGAACAAGGGGACACAGGTGGAAGCTGAGTACCCAAATGAGCCACAGAGACGTTAGAAAGAACTTTTTCAGTGTCAGAGTAGTTAGCAAATGGAATGCATTAGGAAGTGATGTGGTGGAGGCTGACTCCATTCACAGTTTCAAATGTAGATATGATAGAGCCCAATAGGCTCAGGAATCTGTACACCAGTTGATTGACGGTTGAGAGGCGGGACCAAAGAGCCAGAGCTCAACCCCCGCAAGCACAATTAGGTAAGTACAATTAGGTAAGTACACACACACACACACACACACACACACACACACACACACACACACACACACACACACACACACACACACAAAGGTGTGGTGTGTGTGAGCCAAAGCTCAACCAAAGAGCCAAAGCTCAACCCCCGCAAGCACAATTAGGTGAGTACACACTCTGGCCCTCCTTCCTTACCCACATATCTTTCTCATTTAGATTTTCCCAAATGTTTATGGGTGCGTTGCCTCGTGTACTCAGCTAGTTGTGCTTGCGGGAGTTGAGTTCTGGCTCTTTGGCCCCGCCTCTCAACTGTCAATCGACTGGTGCCACACACCAGTTCATTGGTGTGTGCCACCAATCTCACACACACGCACACACACCATCCACCACTAGCCATACTCCTACCCCATCCCCACCACCACCACAACTATTACAACCCTACAGAATAGAAGAAACAGGATATAATCCCAACATATAAGATACTGTACTGAGGGAAGAGACAAGATGGACAACGAGACAAAATAGGACAAAAGGATATTGAAGTTGGAAACGCAAATGAGTGGAATGGAACTGCTTGTGCCTTGTACAGGTGGACAACAATTGGAATGCGCTGAATGAATCAATTATGGATACCTTGATTGTACCTGGAGTGAGTACTGAGAGTTGTTCACCCCCCCCCCCCCTCGAGGCCCCTGACGTGGTCCAGTAGGCCCAAGGTGTGGATGGAGGTGGCTTAGAGCGGCCCGCAAGCTACCTCACTCCACAACTGTAACGCCAGATTCCACAAAAATTTGAACGTCAAGTCATTAAATTATAAGGCAACAGGTATAAGAAGGGTAGTAGGCGGGGGGCATAGGGTGCTCTCTTCAACAGCTATATTCTCTCCTACACCCCTCCCCATCACCGCCCACCCTTCCTACACCCCTCCCCATCACCGCCCTCCCTTCCTACACCCCTCCCCTACACCGCCCTCCCTTCCTACACCCCTCCCCTACACCGCCCTCCCTTCCATCACCCCTCCCCTCCCTCTCCCGCGCTCCGGTAGTTACACCCAGCAAAAGGAGGGGAAAATTAGGTCAAGGTCAAGGTTTTGCAAAGACAGTTGTGTGCGGCACGGCGCCCGCCTCTCCCGTGGCGGCCATCTTCATCCCCAGCGTCCCTCCTCCACACTACCTAATGTGATCATTGCACCAATAATAATAATACATTATGACTGGTACCTGCCAGTCGCGCCCCGCCCTCCACAACAAGCAGGTCGAACATGTACTCTTGTCTTGCGTACATGTCCAAAACATGTGCATGTTTTTGTTGTTTTAGATTCAGCTACTTAGACCAAAAGTTCCAAAGTAGCACGGGCTATGGTGAGCCCGTTGTGGACTTACCTGGCACAGGAGTGGGGCTCGGATCAGTCTCCCGTGTAGTTGGGGGGTGTTGCGATGGCTTTATATTGGCAGTAGTGTGGGGTAACTAGTGTGGGCAATGTGCCTAGTCACTCTCACAAACAACTGTTAACTGCACTTACAACCGGGGAACACAGGCACTTGCTGGCGACACCTGTCGTTTAGATCAATATATATACGTGGGCTCCTACCCAAGCTCTCAGCCCCGCTCCTGGCCAGGTAAGTCCACAACGGCTCACCATAGCCCGTGCTACTTGCCCCGCTCCTGTGCCAGGTAAGTCCACTACGG